AGATTCGCTATCGTGTTCCCCGGCTGTGGTGAAGCTGGGATCCGTATGTAAGATGCTGATAGGAAATCGCAGGAAGAAGGGCGTGTCTGTGCGTGATTCCTGCCTCACTTAAAGCATAAGCAGCTGTGTTTATGTGTAAATGCAGAATTAGCTCTGGAGACGGTAAAGCAGTCTGCCGCTTTGCTGGGGGGTGGGGGGGTCTTTGTGGGTTTGGCTTACCTTCCTGTCCGCTTCAGGTTACTGGTTAGAATCCCGCCCTGAGAAGAACACTCACATCTCTGTTGGGCCTTTCTGCCCCGCCCCCCCCCCATAAAAAGTCACCTTCCTGTTATGCGAATTCCCCCCAAATCAGCTGACCCCCCCCCTTCCCAAAAATAGATAAGAATGTATCCCTTTACCTTTAATGTATCTGTGCATTTCTGAGGCCAAATCTCTGCAAATGTAAGCCATACCTAACGAAGACCGTAGTCCTGCGTCAGACAGACTCGCTCCTTATTAGTCAAAGATTATTCAGAAATCTTCCTCATGCCGCGTCCTTTCGCCATGTTACTATTGCATCTGTGCCCATGTCACGCTACACAGTGGGTATGAAAGGTCTACACGCCCTTGTGAAAATGGCAGGGTCTGTGTGATAAAGAATTTAAGCAAAGATTAATCACAACTTACTGCACCTTTGTTTCAAAACTACAATCTGTACAAAGAAGGTGAAAACAAATCAAAAACTTTACAGTAAAAAATGAAAATAAAACCATGTATAAATTCAGTAAACGTGAAATAAGTTCTGTTTTGTTTTGTTTTGGCAGAGGTGTGTAGATTTTTTTGGCCCCCCACCCAATGTCAAACTCTTTCCACTGGCCTCAAAGGAGACCAAGGTAGGCTCTGTGAAACGCGTTTGTGCCAGTATTTGTCGTTTTCGTTTTGAATGGTCTGCTGAGCCGCTGCTGCCCTGCTGTTAGAGGCGGCCGGTGCTCCGGCCTCTAATTGTGTCCTGCTTTGCTCTAACAATCGCTGCGTAGCACGAGCAGCACAGCCTGTGCTCTTACCGAAGGCAAGCAGTGCTTAAGATGCTCACTGTGCATTTCCCGTGGTATTAAATGGGAAACACGCTCCCCGTATAGAGTAATAGAGGCTTTTAAGTAGAACTGTGTGCCTATGTTCATTTATTGATCTTTTGGTGCCCAGAAATCCTGCAGTTTTAGACTGCCGGCCTTTTTTGGGCTGGGTTACCTCAGCCTCGCTTTGACAGAGCTCCAAATGCACATTCTATTGACCGATACAGAACTGGTGGTTCTAGAAGTCTGCCGGTCGGACACTGAAGGAAAGCACAGCTTGAAGATCACCTTGTATAGTCCAGGTCAGTCGCCACACTCCAGGGTCAAAGGGCAATCAGGCCTGGAATCTAAGTATAGACATGTTTAAAGGGCCAGATCATTCTGCTTCGAAACCTGAACTAGACTGACTGGACGAGACTGTTGTACCAAGTAGGACCCGCCTTTCACACTTGATCACTGTATACTGTCGGTAAGGTTCAGAGCCACTGCATTCTCTCAGTACACGCCTGCTTACAGAACTCGGCTCGGTGGCGCCCCCACTATGTGGAGTGTGTGTGAGTCCGCAGTGCGGTCAGCAAAGCCAGTGTATATCGCCCTTGACAGCGCTGTCAAACAAAGGCCACGCCGTCTCTGAGGGGTTTCCCCAGCTCTGCCCCCCCCCAAGCCTCATATGAAAGTTTAATCCCTGAACATGTCCGCCAATCGATCCCTGTGCTGTATCTGCACATGGGTGTTCAGTGACGGCCACTGGCTGCCCCCTCGCTGCTCTTCTCACTCGTTTATTCCACTGTCATCCCATCAGTCTGCCTTTCATGTCTCTCTCTGCCCTCTACTGGCCCTTTAAATAAGTTGGATCCGACATTCATTTAGTGGCAAGAGAACTTGATTGGGCTGCATGTTTCTGCAGGCGTTTATTTGCGGACAGTATGAAGCATTATGACTGCGGAGTCTGACAGCAGCATCTTTATGGCGCGGCGGCATGGGGCCCTGGAGCGCGTGTGGAATCTGCGTGTCCCCGCGTCACGTAGGGCCCCCGCCAGTGAGACTTCAGTGGCCGCCGCGAATTGCCCACAGTGCATTGGCTGTGAGTGTAGGTGTGTCTGCCCAGGACTGGAGCAGAATCCCATGCAGGCTGTAGCGCAGCCCGATGCCGTGTGCTGCCTGGGATGGGCTCCAGACCCCCCAGGGCTCTGACAGAGATAAGCGGGCGAAGATGAATGGACTAGTGGGAGAGTCACAGCGATGGCTGTGGCGGCGGTAATGGCGGCTGATTTATGGCAGCGGCGGCAGGCGTAGCGGTATAGGCGCGAAGTGCAGGAATATTAGGGCTGCTTCCAGTCTGTGCGACGCTCCTGCTCGTTACGCACGGCGTTCCCAGACCCACCCAGAGGCACGCAGAAACGATGCAGCTGGAGGGGCATTCTGGGAAGCCCCCCCCGTCCAGCCGACCATGTTCATCCAGCATGGAGCTGTTGACTTTTGGTCTGCTATTCTGGGGAGATCTCAGCCCACAGAGATGGAGCGAGAGAGGGAGAGAGAGAGACCTTTGGTGGTTGGTAGCTGCACCATTTCTATTGGCTGCGGGATGCTGCCACCCTACCTGGCAGGATTTCAGGCTGGAGTCGCCATGGCGACACAGGGAATGGGCCAGGAAGTAGATATATCCCCCTCCCCCAAGGACAGGACCCCTGTGGGCAGAGGTCTGGGGCAGTTTCAGTCACAGGGCACGGAGGAAAGGAGCGGTCTAGCACGTTGGGGCTTTTCACTGCGTTTCCCTTAAGAGGTTGGCTTTGGATTGGGCTGGCAGTGCAGGAGATGATCGCGGGAAACTTCATACTTGAGATTCCTGAAAGCCAGTCCCAGAAGAGGCCCAGATGCCATCCACTGCTTAATCGGCAGCTCCTGCCCCCACCACTGGCTTTTTAGTAATATTCCAGTGAAAAGTGGCCGTGTTAGCATCTAAAATGATAACGTGACAAAACCGGAGACCCGGGCCTCAGTGGGGGGGGCGAAGGGATGGTGTTCCCGCAGCCCGGGGGGGCGCTCTCGGTGCCGGCGGGGTAAATCTGTCAGCGCACTCTCCCCACACTGGTTTGGGAGCGGCAGCCCGGGGCGCTGCACACGCCTCGTCTCTTGGGCCCGGCGCACCCTCAGCCTTGACCCACTTTTTTTCGGGAATCTTACTGTTTGAACGGGAATAAAAATCACTGACAAAGTGGCTTCGCCGTTGACCTCCAAGGCCAATGTCGCTGATTTTGTGCTTTCATTTCATAGTGATTTTTTTTTTCTCCCTCCCTCCCTCCCTCCCTTCCTTACTGGGGTGGGGATGGGGGGGGGGGTGATGCAAAAACTGCCACTCAGCTGAAATGTAACCCCTTCCACATGGACATCATGTGCTCTCGTGTGTCTGTATTTTTACCTGTTCATCATTTTTCTCCTTATAGATTCTAGTCGGGGAGGACTAAGCAATTTTAGTAGTTTTACACCCTGTGCCTCCGTCCGGTGGGAGGCTAAGGAATAAGCACTGGCTAGTGGCTATTCGCTTTCACTGGCAGTGTCACGTTCAGGGATCATTTTACTGCTTGTTCTGATCAATAGCGGAGATGGGTAGAGGCGGGGGGGGGGGGAGGAGGGCGCACACCCACCCAGCCCCCTCCTTCCCATTCTCAGCCTTCGCTATCGATCAGAACAAGCAGCAAGACAAGTATCGCGGTTGAGAAACGCAGTGGGACTCTGCCCAGCGATTTGGACTTGTGGTCCGCACTTCATGAATGGAAATCAGGGGCGATTCTAGGATTTATTTTTAATGCGGGGGGCATTAATTGATAGAGAGGGGCCAATTTTATCATTAACCAATAATATGGTTTGAATTTGTGATTGGCGGGGCCAGTCAGCTTTCAGCTGGGACCAGTGCCCCTATGGCCTCACCCCTGAATACGCCCCTGATGGAATGCAGTATGTGGTCTGGGTTTGCCAGTATGTGGATAGGTGTCTCCCTCTCTGGTGAACACTGGCACACAGGTTTGTGTGTCTGCATTGAAGGAACTTATGCCATCTTGTTCATTGATGATTCATGACTTCAAACATCGAGATAAGACCCCATATTTAACCATAACCCAGTGCTGGCGTGAAGCTGACTTTTGGTCAGCTGCTCTCAAACCACACTCTGGATTCCTGGCTGTGTCAAGTGGCTGAGGACCAGTGGTGGGGAACTGTCTTGGAGAGCCGCGTGTTTTTCCATTCCAGGGGATACCAAGCCAAAACTGGTGCAAGCAGTGCATTTTTGGCACGTTCTGCCAGTACACTAAAAAATAAACCGTGTTGTTTTTTTCAATGAGCGGTAACACACTGCTGATAATCCCTATGAAGTTTCCGGTATGCCACACACTCCCTGTCCACAGTCCGTGAATGAGCCCTCTGTCATACTGCATAGCAACCAAAAAATAGCACCAGGTGAGACTAAGGTTTTCGGACACCAGTCACTTGACCTGACCCGTTATCTGAGTGAATGTTTAAAATAGCCAATCAGTGACTCCCGAGCCAAGTAGCTTATTGGTCAGAGTCTCCTCGGTTATGGTGTATAATCAGACATGGCCACGCCCCTCTGTCCCCAGACTGTGCCCAGGGATCTACGTGTGTCCGTCTGCTGCGAGGTCACGAGGTCAGGGATGCCGGGTACCTGTGTGTCTCATTGCTCCGTCTGTACAGCTGTGATGTTCGTAGTTCCATAAGTCCTGCAGTCTGTTTTCCCTCAGTTGTTCAGCCGTTTTTATACATCTTCAAAGGAAAACAAACAAGAGATGTAATTTCCAGTTGTGAAGAATCATCATGTATTATGGTGAGAAACAAAAACTTTGAAATATTAGTCTTTCCTCTCACTTCAGAGACGTCCTTCTGTGGTAACCACATGTCTGTCTGCGTGTGTCTCTGTGTCTGTGTGCATTTCAGCTTCCTGCTCGTGTTCAGCTGTCTGGTGCTGTCTGTCTTCTCCACCATCCCTGAACATCAGAGCTTCGCCAACGAGGGTCTCTTCATCCTGGTAAGAGCTGAGTGGCCCCTGACTGCAGTCACTGGCCTCCACAGACTCTGCTGCTCCACCTCATCCACGGTCCAGACGTCACCCAACTTCTCATGCCGTGATGGGCCTCCTTGGGTTTTCTCGGCCCTCCCCCAGCCATCGCCCCCGCCGACTCCCTCCCGTCTCTCCCCCTCCCTCTCTCTCCCCCTCATACTGTACTTACACATCTGGCTCGTTGGAGATGCTCTTACGGGAAGCGAAAGAGCCGCGTAAGCAGGACAAACAGGTTCCAGTGTTGTCGAGTGTGCAGGAAAACACGGCCGCCATCCCCTGGACGTCTCTGCTTTCCTATCGCTGCTCCGGCAGACTCCATAATGGGGGCCTTGTCTCCTTCCGTTTTCTTTGGTTGTAGGGTTACACTGCCCTCTCTCGATCCGCTCCCCCATGAGGCCGTCTCTGGTCACGCAGCGAGAACACGGGAGCAGGGGCAGAACTATAGAAACGGCTTCATCCCTCACGTGAGGCACGGAAGGGGAGCCTAATTCATTTAGAGGAGCAGAATGGCTGTGAAGAGTGACTCCCCATTGTTTCCTCAGTCTCCGATGACTGATTGGGCCAGGGTGCTCGAGTGTGATCAACAATGCTAAACAGCCTCCTCGTAATGCTAATTAATGCTGCAGATAAGGTCGATGCTATCGGCTGTATTGTGTCCGTGTGTGTGCTGGCCTCGTTCTGCTCCGCTGTAAGCGTGTGTGTCAGCAGGCTATGGCTACGCTGTTATGTAACAGGGTCACATGGCTAATTTGTCATCACAGGTCCCCTTGGCAGACGGCTGAGATTGTAGTTTACATGCAACGCTGGCTTTGGGGGGGGTGGACCTCACAGCCTCGCTGGCTCGCTGTCACCCCCTCCAGGACTGGGCCAGAATGATGGTTGTTGCCTTGTCACCCCCCTGCAGGAGTTTGTGATGATCGTGGTGTTCGGACTGGAGTACATCGTGAGGGTCTGGGCCGCCGGATGCTGCTGCCGGTACCGGGGCTGGCAGGGCCGCCTGCGCTTTGCCAGGAAGCCCTTCTGTGTGATAGGTGGGTAGCTGTGTGCACGCGTGCTACTGTCATTAGGTTTATATTACAGTATGTTGTGGGGACCAAACCCCACAATGAAATAAAAACCTGACCATTTTTGGGACCCCACAAAGATCTGTGAATGCAGTCAAAAAAGTATCAATGCCAAAAGTGTCGTATTTAGTTTGGTTACTTATAGTTAAGGTTAGGGCTGGGCAAGGGTTAAGGTCGTCATGTTGGGGTTAGAGTTTCCCCCATAGAAATGAATGGAGAGTCCCCACTAAGACAAACCTGTTTATTACTGTTATTGTGTGGGGGTGTTTGTGCTGTGCAAATAGCTAAAACGCTACACAATTCTGAATTAGACAAATGCAAAATGGTAAAAGCAATGTCAAGGGTCAAGGGTCAAAGTCCGGACCCAGCTAATAATGTATCATATGAATCAGCATGGTCCACGTGGTTTGAATAAATACAATAGAACCAGCAAACGGACACACGTAACTCATCATAAGCCCCCCATGACAGAGTGCCGAAACGATCAGCGAGCCTTTAACCGGTCTTCATGTTAAGTTCCCATTTTTGCTGTGTATTGATATCTCTTTCAAAAGTGATTGTTTATTCATGCGATGCTGTTTTGTTGTTGAAAATCGTTGCGGACCTCTGACTTGAGAACGCCGGGGTTAAAGGGTGGCGATCCGGCGCTTGGGTTGGGCTACGCTGAACTGGCATTTAGCTGCTTTCAAATAATGTCGTCTTTGTATTGCAGTTTTCAAACACTGGCCTCCTACCAGATAACACTGCTCACTCCAGATGGGTTGTTGCAACCCGCTGCTTTGACAGATTTAGTACAGGCCCCCTGCAGAAACAGGCACGGCTTCAGTCCATCTCCTTGTCGTTCTCTTTAGTGCCAGCCTCTGTGTGCATGCTTGTCGGGGGAGTAAACAAGGGCAGGACCACAGGGGCGTCGATCCCAGCTGAAAGCTGATTGGCTCCCGCAGGGCCCCTCCCCGTCACTCACAGATTCAAAATGTATCATTGGCTTATTATGAGGTTGAGCCCTATGTACAAGTTATGGCCGCTCTTATGCCCCCACCTTAAAAAAAATCCTGAATTGCCCCTGATACTTGTGTGCATGCTTACCTCATATGACTCTGACCCCCCCCCCACCAAATGTGGTTTGGTTTGCAGACTTCCTCGTGTGTGTGGCATCCATAGCGGTAATCTCGGCCGGCACGCAGGGGAACATCTTTGCCACGTCTGCGCTGCGCAGCATGCGGTTCCTGCAGATCCTGCGCATGGTGCGCATGGACCGCCGTGGCGGCACCTGGAAGCTGCTGGGGTCGGTGGTGTACGCCCACAGCAAGGTGAGGGTGCCCCCTGCTGGCCACACCCAGATGATGTGAAAGGAGATTTGAAAATATGGAGGAGAAAACATGACGAGCAATGTTCTGCTTCAGGAGCTCATCACAGCCTGGTACATCGGATTCCTCGTGCTGATCTTCGCCTCCTTCTTGGTTTACTTAGCCGAGAAGGAGGTCAACACGGAATTCTCCACCTACGCTGACTCCCTCTGGTGGGGAACAGTGAGTACTGCGCTGACGGACAGAAGGGGGAAGCGACTGGTTAATGGAAGGATCACTTTGTTGGCGCTTTGTGTGGGATTTCAGCTGTGATGCGTCCTCCTTCCTTCCCAGTCTCTGGTATTAATATCCTTGTGTAAATGCAGATCACCCTCACCACCATTGGATACGGGGATAAGACCCCACGCACCGGACTGGGCCGCGTGCTGGCCGCCGTCTTTGCCCTATTGGGCGTGTCCTTCTTCGCACTGCCAGCAGTAAGGTTCTCCCATTGGCTCAGCCCCCCCCCAATCAGTCTCCTCCTCAGTCACTCAGAGCTGGCGCTGATTTTCCTGTCTGTGCTCCTGCAGGGGATCCTGGGCTCTGGGTTTGCCCTGAAAGTGCAGGAGCAGCACCGGCAGAAACACTTCGAGAAGAGACGGGTCCCCGCAGCCAACCTCATCCAGGTGACAAGTCCAGAGAGCCTCACTGTACCGGGGGGGCGGCTCCTTTCAGAGGTCACCTCACAGTGAGGGTGTGTCCGGCCAGAGCCAGCCTCACTGATTTGCGCGTGTTTGTGTGTGTGTGCGCGCGTGTGCGTGCAGGCCGCATGGCGTCTCTACTCCACAGATGCTCAGCGCTCCTACCTCACGGCGACCTGGTACTTCTACGACAGCATGCTGCCTTCGTTCAGGTACGTTGGCCGTCCCCCTCGAACCTGAGGCCGTAGTCTGGCTGACCCTGCAATGAATCTCACTATCAGATACACACGCACGGACACGCACTCACACACATACACGCGCGCCGTGCCACACGTGCTACCGAACATGCTGCTATGGCAGCGCGTAGTAAGATTCACGATCACCCCACCACAGGAAAACGACAGAGACCTGGTTTGCCACTCTCAGCACAATCAGGGCCTGCTTACATGGGCCTGCTGAGCGTAGGCAGGCCTCGCCAATCGAGGCCCCAGATGATTTCCAAGGCATACAGAAGGCGTTTTAGGCGCCTGCCTTATAGCCACGCAGATACAGCAGGCAGCCCCTGACTTGAGCATTTCCTGTGTTCAGGGCTGTGTTGTGTGTTGGGTTTCTGGCTGGAAACTGGCAGCAGGCATTACAGATCACATTAAAGACCCACCTTCACCAGTGAGATATGTCACAGTTTTTGTCTTTATTTTACACGGTATTTCACACCATCAGCCCATTCGCCCATGTCAGTCTGTGTCGCTTTACATCTCGTTAGTCGTAAGTGTGTGAGGCTGCTGTCCTCTGGCTTGGCAAACGACCACAGACAAACGCATCCATCTCCGCCCCTCCTTCACGAGCGTCTCTGCACACACACAGCCTAAAGCGGCCTGCTCTGGTGGCCGCGGCAGCCAGACGAGATTCTCACACATCCGCCTTCTTTTTTGAAAAAAAAGTTTTGTGTTGTGTTGCTTTTTAAAAAACCCATTATTTGTTGTTTTTAAGTATTTGAGCATTAATTTGACTAATTGTATTTCTTTGTTTTTGTTTTTAAAAGATGGGGATATAGGAATTGGATTTATTTAAGCACTTCAGATGCGCAAATCTTAATCAAATATGCACTGCAAATTTTATCAGGCTTCCTGCATAAGGCCTTGTCTATTAGAACACAAAAGAATGTTTCTGTAATGTTAAATGCAGTGGGGAAAACAGCAGCTTGTAAACCACTTCATAACATCCCCTTCTTTTTAAAACTAAGAGTTAGTTTGATTTTGCCTGTTTATGAGTTTCTGTTTCATCTTTTGTTCTTTTGTATGCATGACTCAGAGAACTGACCCTACTCTTCAGTCACCTGCAACAGCAGCGTAGTACCAAGAAAGGCCAGCACTTCCACACACTGCTGTCCGGGCTGCGGCCCCACAGCTCCCCCTTCCTGTCGAGGGACAGGTATGCAACAGCCAGCCTGACGGCGCACAGCGAAGCCGCCACGGAGACGCACGTATGCGCGCTTTGGCTGTGTGCTGTTACCCGAGTGCGTTTGGTAAGCAGGGCAGCAAGCCTCGGTTTGGCTTTGCAAACAGGACAAGAAGTTTGGAAATTCCATTCAACCCCGGGACAGTTCACGATCTTATTTATTTATTTTTTAATTTAATTTCATTTTAATGTTAAATCCTTCATTTGCTCTTTGCACAAGCACAGGTACACTGGAGTGCGTCTCTTCTCCTGCCCCATCTCGCTCTCCGTAGTTTGGGGCTCACAGCACAGGGTCTGCTAATGTGCGCCCCCCCCCCCTCCCCCGGAGCTGGGGGCTAAGGGCCTCGCCCACGGAGGTTGGGGCTCAATCCGTCGATCTTCTGAGACTTACCCTGCGGAGCCACATGCCACCCCCCGTTTTGATCGTTTTCGCCTTTTTGGTCTTTTGTTTTTTGCACTATTTTAGTTGGTTTGTTTTTCTAACAGAAAGCCTTTGCCAGGCTTTGAGAGTGAACCGTTACCACCATTAGCCGTAAAATGGTCCCATGTTGACTCTCTCAGCCTTAAGCTGCTTCTGCCGTCACAGGGAGCATCGCGCTCTGACCTGCTGTACTGTGAGGAGCCCGTGGGCCAGTCCCAGTCCCCGCCAGGGCCAGTCCCAGTCCCCGCCAGGGCCAGTCCCAGTCCCCGCCAGGGCCAGTCCCAGTCCCCGCGGGCTCGTATCCCCGTTCTGTTTTAACACCCCCCTGCTAACCCTCAGACGTCGTTCTCTGTCCTGCCAATCTCTCCTCTTCCTCTGGTGGTTGTCCTCCCTGTCATTACCATCTGCTGCCATTTACCATTGGCAATATCTCTTTCGCCCTCTCACTCTCTCTCTCTCGCTCTCTCTCCCCACCCTCTCCCATCTCACTCCGTCTCCCCGCCTCACGTGTTCTCAGGAGGGCAGGAGTCACACGCAGGTTTGTTGAATTGCCACTTGTGTTGCCCCAACCTCATTCCAAAAAAAAAAAAATACCAACCCAGCGTAGCTGCTTGTCTGCCTGGTCACTGTTTCCCATTGACCATCTGCATTCCCGTACGTGAGTCCATCAAACCCATCCAGGACATGATGATAATGGGACACTTTCTATCTGCATTCCCTAGAGGTCATTCAGAGGATCATAGATAGTGAAGTTTCAGCAGCTGCCTGGCAGGTTGCACCTCTTATATTTCCAGAAGGCCGCACTCTGTTGGGAGTTGCACCTCTATGTTGCGGCATGTCCACTGTCTACCTGTCCACATGTCTTCATCCCTGCAGCCACAGCCACAGAATATACACACACCACCGCAGGAACATGTACTCTGGTTTAAAATTCTCTGCCCCTCCCACCTCACCTTAAGCTCCACCCCCACCCATGTGACCTGATTAACACCGACGGACACCTCACTAAACCCCGCGGTGTGCCCCCTCCTCCGAAACCCCTCCCTGTCCCTCTCCAGGCCCTGCTCCTCACCCTTTCTCCTACCTTGTCTCTTCAGTCAGCTCGTATCTAAAAAGCGGGGTCTCTTCCGGATCCATGCCGGTCGCAAGCAGAGGTACCCAAGGCCATGAGCACTGGGCACGCTTGACCCCCTTCCCGAAAATCCTTTCACTGCCTCGTTTCAAACCCTTTTTGGTCCAGTGCGCTCTTGTCTAAAGTGGGCACTTTAAATCCCTTTATTCATTTGCATCAGATCCAAAGACCTGCTCTGGGCCAGAAGCCTTTCAAACGAGGCTTTTTTTAATTTTATTTTTGCACTACTTCCTGATGTATGTGGCTCGTGTGCTGCACTTTGGGTCCGAACCTCCTCCTGTGGCCATCGAAGCCGCCGTTGAACACGGTGGCCAGACTCTGAATCCAGCCAGTGGCTTGTGGCCAGGCTCGTTTATATGATATCGACAAAATCGTATGAAGGAAGGAGACGTCGGACGCCAGCGTTGACTCTGCATGGCTCAATGGAGGCTTTGAAATGCATGCATGGGCCCATCTAATCCGGGCCCTCACCGTCAAATGTGTTTCCTGCTAAATCCCGCTCAGGCCACTTCAGCACCAAAACCAGCAGTTCTAATTTCTGTAGAAATGTCTACCTCTAATTTCTTGGCTAATTTTTGCGAATAAGCCTTGTGTGCTGCTTGGTTTTCCTACCAAGAGTTCATGAGTCACTTTGCCTTTGACTTGGGCCATTTCATCACTCGTGTTGAGCCTGTTTAGCAGTCTGAGACACATGGCTGGCGTTCATGACGCCCACAGCCCCCTCTGCACTGCTGCATTCCTGAAAAATAACTTAGAATCATCCTGCTTATGGCCGCAACTGTATTGTTGGTCGCCTTCATTTAGAAGCGACTGATTTATCAGTAAGATGTCTGATTTATGGGGAAGACAGTACCCCTTACAGATCGTTTGCTGCGGCATTCTTGCTCTAGTTGCTAAAAATCTTCACTGAAGAATGCTCTGCATGCCGGTGAGGCGATGCGGCACCTTGGGGTAGGTGTGCCGGACTCCCGAATGCATGTTGCATGGGTTTGCATCTGACTGCATGAATGGGATTAATTCAACTGTGTGTGTGTCTCTCTCTCTCTCCCCAGAAAGTACTTGAGCATTTCAGCTTGCGTGTATGAAACGCTCTTTCAGCTAATCCTCTCTGCTATTTAAATATTCATTTAAATGGCCGCCTAAACGCATGGAGTATATCGCAGCGAACTCTCCAAGTAAACAACCTCGTTATGTCTCGGTCATGCACCGTAGCACCACTTTTTTTTTTTTTTTTTTTTTAACGTTTTTATTGCAATTACTTTTTTGTGAGTTAATTCACATGAGGTACATAAGTGTTCACAAAGCAGTTACTGCCATTACTGGCAGTTCTCGGAACTTGCCTTAATTTATTTGTTACAGGCAAGAAGGTTCTTGCCAGCACACACCTGGTTCGCATTCAGCTGTATTGACATCCCCAGTATTCAGGCCAGACTGGGCCATGCAAACATCGTTTCCTACAGAGAGTCCGATTCTCGCAGGCGACTGGTACATATTCTCTGGGGTTCTCTGCTGCGGTGGATCGAGGTGGTAGCGATTTCCCTCGGTCCCTGGAACTTGTAGATTGACCAGACAATGATGGAAACGGCTCGCTAACCAACAGCCAATTACCAGCTATGATGTCGCATTGGGGGTTTGACCTAAACGGTCACGCTCTGCCTTTTTACAGCCGTAGGACTAACTAGGTGCTCTGTCAGGCTACGAAGGGAAGGACTTACCAGTCAAGTCAAGTTTATTTATATAACACATTTAAAAATACCAGTAGTTAATCCAAAGTGCTGTGCACAAAAGGAAAAGAATTCAAAGACATACTAAAAATGGCAAAATGACCCAACTGCTATTTAACAAAATACAAGTTTTAAGATATGATTTAAAAGTGGTGCATAATACGCAAATGTTAATGAAATTAAATATTTTAATAATGTAATCAATAACAATAAAAATGTAAACTATTAAAACATGCTAAAAACGGAATAGAGATTCAAACGCTAAAGAATAAAGAATACATTTTTAAGGCAGGATTTAAAAGTGGTAATACAGGGAGACGGGTGAACCTGAAGTGGCTGGCTATTCCACAATCGGGGGCCAAGGGTCCCATAATTCATACCCAGAGGCTGACCTTACCATTGGCCAGTGATGTGTTTTGAATTAATGAGTGACAGGGGAGCGGTGATCCTTGGGCCAATCAGCTTTCAGCTGGGATCGGTGCCCCATGTGGCCCCGCCCCTGCACTCTCCCCTGAGCAGAGGTGAACAGAGACTAGCTGTGGCTAACGGGAGAGGAGACGCGCTCATTAAGGAGGCCCTCTTGTTTCCCAGCAGCCCTTGCTCTTAACATACTGCCGCAAGGTTTTAATTTCTGGCATCTTCTGCAGTGGCGGGAAGATGGGCTTCCGTGACCGGATTCGGATGAACAACACCCGGGCAGCCCAGACGGCACGCGCCAAGGCATCGCCCCTGCCCACCAGTGAGGCACGCCCCTCCCCCAGCTCAGAGCACCCACCCGAGGCTGCCAGTCCTGAGAAGGTGCAAAAGAGCTGGAGCTTTAATGACCGCTCGCGCTTCCGCACGTCGCTGAGGCTCAAGCACCGTCCCGCCATCGACGGTACCCACAGCCCCGCTCCCATCACGCATGTGCAGCATCACACCATGTGTTTAGGCAGGGTGTAGGAGGTGCCAACGTCATCATCAGCCAATGATATATTTTGAATTGGTGATTGGCAGGGAAGGGACACTTCAGCGGCCAAACAGCTTTCAACGGAGGACTGTGCCTCCGCTGAAAGCTGATTGGCCGCCATAATCCTAGAATTAGGATTATGGCACTCCATGTGAGCATGGAAAATAGTGCAATTATGTCATTTCCAATGTCTGTTACATTCTACACAGACCCCAACTTCCTGTGTCTGTATGTGTTTTGGGTGGGAATTTATATTTGGCAGTGTTTAAAAGGCAGGCAGGCCATGTGCATGCATTTCAAACCCGAGTGTCTCTCTCTGCACGGACGACACACCCTTCCTGGCATAGCAGAAGGAGCAGGGGATGACTACACAGACGAGAAGACATACCCCGATGTAGCTATGGACGAGGTGATACCAGCCGTGAAGGCCCTCATCCGCGCCGTCAGGTGAGCCCGCCGTTCCCGTCCTTAGAGCTCACACTCACTTGGGGGTCTTTGAGTGCTTGACCAGGTGAGTGTTAAACAAAAACACACCATATAAATGACTGAATTGTCTGCCCCCTGCTGGTTATTCTCCAAAGCTCATGCACTTTGTTTGCTTGTGATAATGTGGATATCTAAAAGGAAAACACCCACTTCAGCAACACCAGAGAGACCGGTCAGAGTGCCCAAACCCCCCGCCCCCCCGTGTGTGAGACGCTCTATACAACCAGGGTCATGCAACTCATGGCTACAAGCTTCCCTTGGCCTGGCCACCCAGCTCCTGAGATGGTGTCCCCCTCTCCCCCCACCCCCCCAGTTCCTGAGATGGTGTCCCACCCCAGCTCCTTAGATGTCCTCACCATTCCTTTTAATCACTGTAACCCCGTAGCCCTTCCTGCAGATGCCCAGACGCATTAGATGTTTCTCTTCGTAAGCAATAATAAGTGCATCCTTCACCTGCAACGAAACTTCTGTTTTTCCTCAGACCTGCTCTGCGCTCCCCCTTGTTAATTATTAAGACGTAATGTTAGGATCACTTCTGACCTTGCAGCTTAAATCAATACTAAGCAGAAAGCACTGACCTGTAATTACCTTGGTGTTACGTTACAGACCTGAGGGGCTGGGGGGGGGGGGGGTGTCCACTCATGTACATGTTTCATTAAGACTGGTAATGCTGAGCAAGACCACACCTCACTGGGGGGGGGGGCTGCCTGCTCCCTGGTGGATAGTGTGGACCTGCAGAATGCAGGCCTCCCTCCAGAATGCAGGCCTCTCTCCAGAATGCAGGCCTCCCTCCCGCCCAGACGGGCTACTGGAATGAGGTACCCCGTGGCGGCAGGGTACAGATCGGGGCCCCCGGGGGGGGAACTCACACCTAGGGGCCTCCTGTTTGTCAGGATGTTCCTGGCGGCTGTCCGAGACGAGAACAGCTTCAGCTTAGCTTTTTATTTTGCCGAGTCGACATTCAAAATTTGGACCGGCCACCACTTGCTGCCGTGCGATTAAAATACGAGCCGTACACATGCAAAAGTTCAGCCGCTTCCTCGCTGCTCCAGTAACTGGGTCACTGCCGCGCAGAGCCAGTGACGCAGGTGTGCCATGTGGGCCGGCTTGCTCCGCGCTCCTCTGCACGTTGCCCGGGTTCTGCGTGCAGGTGGGGGGTCACGCCTTCAGTTCCTCGCGTTCCTTTCCTGTCTGTCTTTCATTCATCGGGTGGAACATCAATGTGAGGGTCCACGTTCTCAGAGCAGAACACGCTGCACTGAGACAGCCCGGACGCAGGGTCGGTGCCGCAGGACCTCCCGGCCTGAGTGGCCGTACAGACGGGCCACTCGGCAGCTTGTGCCAGGGGTCGGTCACCAGGTGTTTGCCCAAAGGCTCATCAGTGAGCCACAGAACTACAACATTGTTTATTTTCTCCTTTTACTATGCAGGAACTTCAGCAAAGATGGATGTTCTGAGGTGGGAAAGGTGTTAAAATTAGCGAGGTGCAAAATGCTGACGTTTGGCTTTGGACTCAGTCGACTGGCTGTTCATCAGCGCGGGGTGGAAATGTGTGGAGTGTGCGCTTTGGTGTGCCTCGCAAAGCCTCAGGTCCGTGGGTCTCATTCTGTTTTTTTTTTTTCTCTTTTCTTCGTTGAACACAGTAAGTGATCACCTTGCACACAATGCTGCACATAGTGAGAAAGTCCCCCCCCCCCAGTAAAAAACAAAAGGAAGGTTCCAATGGGTTTGAAACTTGTGCCCATGTTTCTAAGGGCCTGGGTTCAGATCCTGTATTGCGGTTATGCACTTGAGCAAGTGGAAATTAGCGGGAGAACATTTTAAAATGAATTTGAGGAAGCACTTCTTTACACAGCGTGTAGTTAGAGTATGGAATAGTCTTCCTGTTAGTGTAGCGGAAGCTAAAACCCTGGGTTCCTTTAAATCAGAGCTAGATAAGATTTTATCAACTCTGAGCTATTAGTTAAGTTCTCCATAAACGAGCTTGATGGGCCGAATGGCCTCCTCTCGTTTGTAAATTTCTTATGTTCTTATACGAGAACTCGTGGCCCTTAACCCGAGCTGTTGCAGTCGGACCCTGTGCTCTGGCCCCCTAAACGGAGCACATACACATGTGTCTGTCTCATGGAGAGTGAGGTGGGATGTGCGGAAGCTGCACTCTCTCCTCACAGCGATACAAATGGGAGCCCTCCTCCACTCCTCCAGTACCTAGTGGGCTTTCATTGATCATATCTATTTATAGCCGGCTTTGTAAAGGACTTAAAACATTTTAAATGAATTATACACTGTGGCGCCTTTGGGATGTTATCTGTTTATCAGCTATGATACAGAAGATGTACAGGAGCTGAAGGCATTTCTGGTCTCCTGCTCTGCGTAAATGTAAATGTGCTATAATCTCTCGCACATTATCAGAGGGAAGTTCAGCTGGCCGTTCACCAGAGCTCTGGAGTTCTTAAAGGGCTCATTTTCCACCAGGACACAATGAGAGTTTCTATTGCTCCAGGTGCCTTGGCCGCTGTTGGTGCGCTGATGGCACAGGATGTGGTGCCAAGCGGGCAGCACTGGCACCAGTGAAGGGGGCGGAAATTGGGGATAGCCACGGGTACGAACAGCTGCGGCACGCGGGGGCGGCATACGGGCCCCTCAGTCAGCACTTTTGTAAAAAGCTGTCGGGGCAGGGGGAGCAGTTACAAATGAGAAGTAAATTAGTTTTGTGAGGGGGGGGGGAGGGGGGTCTCAGTCATTCTTTTGTTTCTTGTATCCAGCCCCCCCACCTCTACCTGAGGCTTGCCATGGAGAAATTCTGCAGGAATCTGCAGAAAAAATAACCGAAGAATAATAGAAGAGTCTTCATGAGCTCACAGCTGGACTCGGTGATGGGGGGGGGGCTTGTGTGGGAAGCTGCCAGGCCACATGTGGGCCTTTCGCTCTCCAGCCTGACACTGAAGAAACGGCTTTGACAGAAAGGACAGGTGCTGTTAGAGGGATTCACATGTGTAACCGCTTCGTGCTGAAGAAGCCTTCAAAGATGTAACATGCAATGTCCAGGCTTAGGTGACGGTGCTTAGTGTCAGGAACGAGATAGTTAACCTCAGTGTTTGTTTATTCGTTTTTAATTTTCCTTTTGTCGGGTCAGATTGTGAAGCGTGCAGGTTTTCTTTGGTTGTTGGCATCCCGTCGCGTGATTGGCTGTGCCAGCTGGATTCCCCGCTCTAAACCCCGCCCACCCACTGAGGCAGCTGTGTTGCGTCCCATGCGGGGATCACCCTGTGACCCCACCTGCTCATGGGAGATGGCATGTTTCCTCATAAAAGGAATTAAATAGAACCCCCCCGTAACCCTGTGCAGTTATGGAGGTATCTGTCACGGCAGAGGGTGACAGACTAAGGGTTGCTGTTTTATCGTTTTTGTGGGGTCATTGTGGGCTCTCCTTTCTGTTGAGCCAGCAGGCACAGAACAGGCCAATAGAGAGACAATTAAAAGCAGGATCTGCTGTCGTGTGGCATGTTAGCTGCGGGGCCCCCAGGGGGCAGTGAAACGTTTGCTCGTGCCGCTGTTACGGCCCCCTATAGTCGCCCGGCTGTCGTCGTCCTCATGTCAACAGCGTGATTAAAGTCCTAAATCTTCAGGCGCAATTACCTCATCAGGGCCTATATCAATCCTTTAATGGCTTATAATTTTGAACTTGTAAAATTTAGTGACGTACACGGGATCACTGTGGTAATCAGGAGCAGTCTGTGGAGGATGGCTGCAGTCGCTGTCTCTGGCTTCATACAATGGTGTTCAATTTGTCTCCAAACAAAGATTCTGTTCATTCCCATCTAATTATTACATGCTTGTCCTATAAACTTTTGGAGATTAGGGTTCGATTCCCTGCCCCGCCTCTGTGCGTGGCGTTGGCGTGTTAGAACATAAGAACGTCATGGGTCGTCATGGGTTTTCCAGTTTCCCCCCCACAGTCCATAAATGTTAAGGTAAATAGAAGCTGCTGACTTGCCCATAGGTGTGACAGGTGTGTGTGTGTCCCCTGCGATGGGTTGGTGCCCCATCCTGGGTTGTTCCCCACCTTGCGCCCCTTTGGCTTAGGGGATAGACTCTGGACCCCCCTGACCCTGCATAGGATGAGCAGATTTGGATAATGAGATCATGTGTTGTCCCATTTGTGGCCTTTCGTAAGCAGGACCCTCAAGTTCCTTGTGGCCAAGCGTAAGTTCAAGGAGACGCTGCGTCCGTATGATGTCAAGGATGTCATCGAGCAGTACTCCGCGGGTCACCTGGATATGCTCGGCCGAATCAAGAGCCTGCAGAGCCGGTAACCACCCCCCCCCACACGCATACGCGCAGAGCTGCACGCGTGACAGCTGCTCTATACACAAGACCTCTAACCAGCCTTTACCTCACAGGGTGGATCAGATCGTGGGACGCGGACCCAGTCAGCCAGACAAGAAGGTGCGGCATGAAAAGGGGGAAAAGTTGCCCTTGGATTTGGACCCCCACGAGGAGCCAAGCATGATGGGGCGCGTCCAGAAGGTGGAAAAACAGGTACGGGCATCCACTGAGTTTTTACCAGTGTGACTGCTGTAGCAGATGGCATGACCAGCGGAGAGTGATGTTGGTCAGTCATATATTGTGGGAATGAGTTTAGTGGAGTTTAGTGGTATTAAAAGGCGAAACATGAGCAGAATGAGTTGCTGTAGGACATAACCAGGCCATAATCCTGATGACCTCATTGGCAGAACTCTGATCTACAGCGTCTACTCATTAAAGGTGTAGACCACACAGGTGTGGGTCGGAATGCCTGAATGTGGGGGTGTAATTGCGGTTGTTCCCTTGATTTACCCTGACCTCACCTGGGCTGCTCCAGTAAATATGCAGCATGTTTGTGAGGCTGCTTCAGGTCATTTTCAAACGAAAGCAGAGTGTTAACTGGCACGTGGTCCACAGGTGCAGTCCATCGAGAGCAAACTGGACATGCTGCTGAACTTCTACACGCAGTGCTTGAAGAAGGGCTCCTCGCACGTCACCCTGTCCTCCCTGCTGGAGGCCGACCTCACCTCCGACTATCACAGCCCAACTGATCACCAGGAGCTCTTCCCATCTGCCAACACGCTCAACATCTCCCGCTCTGAGAGCAGCACCATGGACTGAGGGGAAATTCTGGAAGGCTGACCTCACCACCTCGCCCTCATTCCAAACCCTCACCATCTGAATGACATGCATTTATTTCCTCTTCTCTCATACATGAAATTAGAACCCAGGGGCGTGGCTACGGGTGGGTGTGGCTATGGGTAGGCGGTGCCCACCCAGCCGGATTGGCTGCTCACCCAACAGAGACAGACGGAATGTAACCAATCATTAGTGATTTAATAGAATCGCTAAATTATGAAATAACTTTTACCATCCCCCCCCCCACCCAGGCTGATGACTACTGGCATCCTGGTAATGCCTCTTCCTGAAACAAATCCTACCCAGAATTCCCTGTGCCATTTCTTAAACCTCTCCCCTTCTTTCGTTTCCTGCCTTTCTGATATTTCGTGCATCGCCCTCTCCTGGCCATTTCCTCTCATGGCATCGTCACCAGAGCCGTGACGACTCTCCACAGAGGGCCGACGTCTAAGCAGAGACATGGCTGAAAAGACCATTCGCTGCGACGAGCCTTTCTTCCTCAGCTCGGGTGTGAACGGGCGTGACCGGGCACTCCCCAACTACTGATATGCAAGCGTTATTTCATGCATCCGTCTGTCTCGGTCGCCTGGCTCAGAAGCACAAGCCGGCACACAATGTAAGGCTGGCAGATTCTTCGGTTCCTTTGTTCTGAGGTTTTTCTCCTTATGTTGTCTATGAATTAATATCAGAGAATGTGAACAAAAAAAAATCCGTTTTGGGGTTGGGGAAAATGCGATATTTTTTACAGATCTGTTTGATTTCGGCACTGAAATTGGAGAATCTCGCTTCCTGACTGGGCTCAGATGTTCTCTGCTGATAGCCTGGGAGCTTCCAGGGAATGTACTGCATGTCCTTTTGTCACCGTCACTGTGGAGTGTTTGCGGACAGGTGGCCTCGGGTTTGTGACTCAGCACCTGAACGAGGGGGCAAGCAGGAAGCCGCTCGGCAAATCCATCCTCGTCCTCGACTGACTCTGCCCCCACAGTGACTTTTACTGGTCCATCTACAAATTCTTTACAGGAGGGGCATTTTGCGTTGATTCCCCTTCCTCGCATGTCCATCGCAGATTTCAGTTTAATCACAATGTTCAGAAAGAAACTGAGTAAAAACAAGCCTTCCCTAAGATTCTGCTATGCGATGGAGAAGGTTTGGACGTGAGCAGCGGTAATGGAGCAGAGATGGTCACTCTGATCCTGTTCTGTTTAGGGAAGAGGTTTGTGATTCACCTCTGTCATCTCCTTCAGCTCGGTTTCTCGTTGCATGGCCCTATTTCTCTGTCGTCATGCCGGTGTCCTACCATACACCTTGACCAGGACATCCATCAGGGCTGTTGCGTAACCTGTAGTGAGGCCAGGATCTTCTCCCCTAATCAGATCACGCCGTCCTTTTTTTACATACAGCATCATCCTGACTCTCACCTCTGTATTAAGGTTGCCACCTGCGTTTTACATTTATTTTTACACTATTTTTGTGTAAATCTACCGCTGTGGCCTTAAACTGTGAGGCAGGACCCAACCCCTTACTCCACCGAGCACATCAACACTAAGCGGCACGTCAGTCGCCTGCTCAGCACCTCAACCGCCGCTGTGGCACAATCCACTCAGGTGGCCCCTACCCGGTTATACAACACCAACATCTGCTGTCGCGCTCTTGTCGTTTGTACTGGAAACATTAACTACATGTCAAGTTCAATATGACTTCATAACCTGTCCTTGCATAGGTTTAGGCACAGTCACATGACCACATGGCAACCATGATGACTGAGGGTGTTTCTCAATATGCATACTTGACCGTACTTGTGTTCTCGGGGTCTTGTGTATCCGCTTTATGTCTTCGTCCATGACGGAAGACCAGCTCCAATCCTAAGAACAGGAGTACAGAGGAAGGTAAAAATCCCCAGATGTCGTTCTTGCCCCACCCCAAATATCAAAGATGTGTCGTTGGCATCCTCACCTAACAAGACCAATCCCATGATTCATGGCACCCCAAGTTCATCATTGGGAGGCAAGTTAGCAAGACAGGTCTAGCCAAGACCTCAAGTACGACCTTTGTGTTCTTGGTATGGAGAAGCACCTGAGTGCCTGGCCCAGACAGAACATATCCTCCTGAGACCCAAGGAAAAAAGTGTCCTTCAATTTTAGGGTATTTGTCTTTGGAGGAAATGAGACGTCTTACATGACGTCTTATGATTTTCTCTTTTTTTTATTTTTAATTTACAGCATGTCCTCTTTAGTGCACAACAGGAATAAATGTTTCCTTACATCAGTGAAAAGATAGATGCAAAAAAAAAAATGTCCACTACAATGGACATAAATGAATGGGTGGGGTCTCAGGAGGATATTCCGCAAACTTGAACTCATTTCTCCCGCTTCGGAAAGAAGCTGCCGACTCCTTTCAGACCGACAGCTCGGTTTGACATGTTAAGAAAGATCCAAATCAGTAGTGCACCTGAACTGTGTGTTAGCTTGATTATTTTGGTAGAGGTTCTCCTAGTGGCATTCACTTCGTTATTTTAATGGACGGAACTGGAATACCCTGCACTCGTATCACATAATTTGTTTCTGTTCACAGAGATTTATCACACGATTGTTTTGTAAATGTTGCAAATTCAGTTTTATTTTTTTATGATCTGCTCTGCTCCACTGGTTTTCTTACACGTGACTTGTAGGTGCTTATATAGACAATATATTTTATAGTTTTTTTTCTTAGTAATATGTATGTTATTGAAAGCCATAGTAAAACAAAAAGTATTATATGAGTGAAATGTCTCGGATTGTATTCAAAAGGTGAATAAAGCTAGTATTTTGTTTAAAGAAACATACTGGCATCAACGAGGACAGTGTATCGTAATTTGTTTCTGCTCAGGTGATACATTTTGCTGTAGGAGTGAGATTTAAAGCAGAGTGGCTAGCTGGTTGTTGATGTACAAAAGTCCTAGATGCTTCAACTGTATTGGAGAAAACATATCAGTTAGCACCCAATGGACAGTAAAATCATAGTGAGGTCATTTTCAATCCAAATAATTAGCTAAATTAATTAACAAAATAAGAAAAAAAGCCAGCGTGTTTCCATTGCCCAGAACTATGCTGTTTTTTGTTTTGTTTGTTTTTTGTTTTTTTTGCCTGTCGTTTTTTGTAATCTACGGAGCACCTGAAGGGACCTGTGCAAAAAAAAAATGCTCTTTCATTCGCGTGCGCACGCGAAGTTATCTCTGGTGCGCGCGAAAGTAACATAATGTTAATTTTTTTTGCACAGTTCCCTAAAGGGGCTCCGTAGTAGTAACTTTTTCAAATTAAAATCTTGCCGATACCATCCGTTCACAGAAGGGATCACTGTCCTGCTCACAAAACATAGGCTTACTTTAACTTGATCTGACGTGTATTTTGCACGACGTAGTTGTCAGCTATTGTCCTGAAATATCTGTCAAATGTTGTTTTGTTTTAATCAACACCTTAATGAGATCTGGGGGATTTTCCATACACCAAGATTTCTTGATTTGCCCGATAACTTCTTGGATTGATGGTAGTCTGGGCTAAATGGACTTTATCGTCGTTGACTTGCATTTAGCACAGACTACTTTAAATCTGACAAGTTATTCATCTAAGCAAGAAATCCTGCTTGGTAGAATATCCCCCTGAAGTGCTTTGGATGAAACTAGAGATCGAAATCCTGACACTCTTCAGTGAAAACGTCGTCTCTCTTTGATATTTTTCCCTTTATGTTTAATAAAATTATCAAATTTTATTTTTATGTAACTTTAATTATATATTTATGGATAATTATAAATAATACGGATTCGTTATATATTTTTATAGTTCGATATAGTTTGTACTTAATTACATTTTATTGGCCGTATTGTCTTTTTCACACTTCTGTACATCAGTACACCAGAGGGTGGAGAAAGTGAGAATATCTTGGTTGATCTGTTCCGTGAACGAAATGAACTACAAACGATCTGCAGACTGACATCATTTTCTTCACTTAAAAGAGGAAACCCAGTCCTGCTGTCACAGTGGTACTGTACGCCGAGGCGCGCGCTAAGGGACCGCATTTCTCAGCCCTGCTCCTCACTGCACGTGCGCTGCAGGGGTCTTAAATGCACATGCTCCGGTGGACATTGAATGAGTCTCTACAATGCAAATTACTAAAGATTCATAATTGCAAGTTTTAATATGTTTAAGCCAAATTGTTGCTAGGAAATTGGCTTTTAATAGGTTAATAATTTCCATTAAATATCCTGGCGTTTTTTTTCCAATTTATCGGCATTTTATTAATTGACTGCTGCCGTTTTTTAAATGGTTAATGCGATTACAGTTTATGTATTAGACTATTGTGTATTGTTTTCAATTTGTTTCAAACGATGAAGGGCTCAACTTAAGTGAAAACAAGGATATGCGTACGCTATTCCTCTTAAACCAAATACACTTTCAGACCTGTCGATTAACACGTGCTTGGACATTCATAAACATAACCTGAAGGAAGCAATCCCATGTTTTAGTTACTGATTTTTGTTTCGGTGGTTAACAGTAGGTAGACTGCCGGCAATAGGTGTGATCGCCGGGGAGACAGTGAAGCGGTTATTGTAAAATTGCCACTGCGGATGCAGTTTAAGTAAATATAATCCCTTTTGCCCGTTTCAGACCCTTTACTCTTAGAATTTACAAAAAATAAATTATAGAAATGGGAATGGTCGCTTAATCTTATATTACTACGATTGAGCTCGTGAATGCTTACCAAACGATACTTATTAATTTAGCATTTTGACCACAACCACCCTGAGCACGGTAAACCTCTCCCTGCAGAATAATGCCATTATATTACAGTATAGTAGACTAACCTCCTTCCCGCCTGCGTTTCACTCTGCATGCGTTGGACGAGCGAGTCCGCGGAAAGCCGCTAGGTGGAGCCCCAGACTGTCCGGTCTACTCGGGGCTATGAGAGGCGGGACCGAGGGTTACCTTACCGCGGGGGATTGTACCGCGGTGATGTGCATGGTCAAGCTCTCTGCATGTATTCTTTCTCTTCAATTCTGTCGATTGCTTGAATGTACATTTGTCCCAGATCACACCTTTCCGTGTTTGCATCTTTCTTATATAACAGTTATGATAATTTAAAACGAAAAATGCCTGTAAAGCAATAAATTGCTAAAGAATTAATCAGAGTCTTCCAGTGCGATTGAGGAAATAATTACCTCATTATTCCTGAAGATCACTTGTATAGCTAGTCGTTCTTTAAATGTTATCATTTTGAAATAGTACCTCAATATAATACCTGGTTAATTTATTATTTATGTCTCAATAAAGTTTTTTGAAGACTGAATATCGTCCCGTGACTGTTGGTGCCCTAATTTTAGCACTAAGAATCATGTTGTTGTTTTTTTTTTAATTACTGTTTGTGTGGCAATGACGCAGATTTGCGAATTCCATGGTAGCTTAAGATGAAACCACTTGTCAAAGGCATTTTGGAAGAACAATGAATATTTTGACATTATTGTTAAACATTAGGGCCATGGATGAACGGCATATGTAAGATGTACAGTATTCCTGTGGAGAAAATGCAGCAACATTTGAATGGAAAGAACTAAGCAAACCTCAAAAGAATCAAAGGAAAATAAACTATCATAATTTCATTAAATACATTAAATTTTAAAATAAACGAACATGTGTTAGAGTTTGCATGTTCTCCCCATGTCGTCGTGGGGTTTCCTCCATTATCTCCAGTTTCCCCCCACAGTCCAAAGACATGCTAAGGCTGACTGGAGTTACCAAATTACCCATAGGTGTGCATGTGTGAGTGACTGGTGTGTGAGTGACTGGTGTGTGAGTGTTCTCAGCGATGGGTTGGCGCCCCACTCTGGGATAGACTCCGGACCCCCCGCGACCCAAAATAGGACAGGTACAGAAAATGGATGGATGGATATCATCACCATAATGTTAACTGCACAGTTTGCTGAATTTGGTACAGGCCTACGAGTTCACAGACATATATGCCTCTCCTACTTTGCACAGCTCATACTGTGACGGTGGTCTTTGTGAGTTAAATGTGTTTTCGAGATCCGTCAAATTTCGAGGGCATTCAAACTTGTTACTTTACTGCGTGCCTGGTTGGGAGCAAACAAATTTCAGATGGAGGGGGTTTCAAACCCATAATTTTACTGCATACCTGGTGTTTTCCATAAAGTTTAAAGTGTACTCTCTCAAAATCAGTTTGTAAACCTCAAATGCATAACCAGGACCGGACCAGCCAAAAAAAAAACATTAGCCCAGGATGTTGCTGTCAAGCGGTATATTTGGCACATTTTGACACCAGTGGGGAGGGGGGGTTCTCCCTTGGTATATTTGGCCAGCGACCTCCCCTCATTAGACCAGGCCAGCAGGGAATTTCCTGAACTTCCAAATGGCTGCTCTGCTCCTGTATATAACAGTAAATGCTGCTTTAGACCGAGGTTCGGAGGCTGCTGGATTGAAAGCTGTTATGACATTTGGTGCAGCTAGACTCCCTGAGACATTCTGCACGTGTTACGTAGCTTAAGACACAAATCAAACCTGAGCTGTAATTTATTTTAATTTCAGTTCCTGAAGGCATCAAAAGCCTTGGATACAAAGTGCAGCCAGGCCTGTGACGTGTTTGTCATCGTACCTGCAGGTGTGAGGATGTCATCTGATTAGATTCTTCATTGATAGTTTTCTTTATGACATCACTCTTCTCATTTGATACTTTGTCTCGATGTTGGACCTTTAAAATAATGACCATTTAATATCTTCCCTCCTATGTGTCAGTGAATTTCAGATGACCTATCCGTTCTCTCATGTAACCAACAATAAAATTAGTGTTTAATTATAGTAATTTGTATTCTTTATCATTCCAATAACTAAGATATAATCAAATAAAAGGAACTGGAAACCACAGGGTAATCTGAACATATTTTTGTGGAAATCCTCCCAAAATACAGGAAATTATATGCCTGAAATGACATCCATTCTCATTACTTTAATTATGCATTCATTAAATGGTGATTCATGGGATAAAAGATAAATTCTGCCACAGGCGGATTACAGCAGTTTTATTTAATTCATTGTTTTGTTTGAGGGGGACCTTCAGAGAGAACTGACTGGCTATGGAATGTTTCACCGTCTGCACTGCAGGTTTTCTTGGCACTCAGGGACATATATAAGGCTCAATGATGTTTATTACCTTATTACTGCTAACACATGGGAGACAAAGATTCCATTGTATAAAAACACTGTCGTACCCTCTAAAGCATTTTATTGGTCATTGTAATATGTATGTGAAGTGAACCCATATTACAATAATTACATCCATGCACTTTTAGTTTAATCTCAAGAACCCTTCGAGGTCAGATGGTCGCTCAGTGGTTAGTACTGTTGCCTCACACCTCTGGTACCAGGGTTCCTGTGCATGTTCCCTCTGTGTTGTCATGGGATTTCATCCGGCTACTCCAGTTTCCCCCCCACAGTCCAGAGACATGCAGCCAGGTGAATTGGTGTCTCTACATTCTCCAGTGTGTGAATGGCCCCATAGTGGAAGTTTGTATCAGAAACAGTAAGTTGTTTTGGATACAATCTCTGTCTCCCTTCACCTTCACAGTTCTTGGCCTTTCTGCACTAGAGGGTGAAGAATAAAGACACCTACCTCATTTTTCCTAAATTGTCCAGCTTAGGTTCCCCCCAGAGTGGCTGCAGAGTGAAAGAGGAGGAGTTACTTTTTCCACTCACATAATTTGCAATTTTTCAATTGGCACCGTAAAAGTCTTTAATGTTTGAAGTTTTGATGTATATTTGTCAATATAGTAAGAGACAT